TCAGCTGCATATTCATCACGGACGAGCGCCCCATATTTCTGTTTTATCTGCCATCGTGTGCACAGAGATATATTTCTACCTCTCCTTCCTCTATTAGTTAAGACTCAAAAATGGTGTAAGCTCTCAATATTACACAGCGAGACACTTCAACGGAGACCTCAGGCCGCTGCTGCCAGCCTACTCTGCTCATTCTGCCCAAGGGAAGCCCTGCTTTCAGGGGGCCCCAGGCCCCACTCAGGTGAGTCTCTCTGAAGACACAAGCCAGTCTGTAGGGGGGCCCTCTCCAACCTTCTCTCCCAGATAAAGTCAAGGGGACCCAAGGAGGCGCCTAAAACAGAATGTTGAGAAGTCCAAGAAGAAAAATCCTAAAGAACACGTGAGGGACAGAAATTCTTAGAAAAGCAATCACTTTATTCTATTTTCATTAATTAATTTGGTTTTGGGGGGGCCACACCTGGTGATGCTAAGGGGTTACTCCTGACTCTGCACTCAGGAATTCCTGGCAGTGCTTGGGGGAACTTATGAGATGGTGGGGATTGAACCCGGGTCCGCCATGTGCAAGGCAAGTGCCCTACCCGCTGTGCTATCCCTCTGGCCTTGAAAAGCAACAGATTAAAAAAGGCAGAGTGAAATGAAAAATCAGACTTATGAAGAATTTTGTGAGATAGAAAATAATAAATCACCAAGAAAAACTACTGTGAAAAAAAAAAGTCAGATTCAAAATATGGAACTAGCGTCATAATCCAACACCTCAGGACCAAACAGGACAGAGAAATACCTGACAGGCAGAGATGAATGAATACCACATGTAATGGGGGTCACAATGATAGCCACATCTGAAAAATAAATACTGAGTTGGCAAAATAAAACCTAGGCATAGGGGGCTGGAGCAATAGCACAGCGGGTAGGGCATTTGTCTTGCACGCGGCTGACCTGGGTTCGATTCCCAGCATTTCATATGGTCCCCTGAGCACCGACAGGGGTAATTCCTGAGTGCAAAGCCAGGAGTAACCCCTGCGCATCACCGGGTGTGACCCAAAAAGAAAAAAAAAAAACCACCCTGGCATATATAGTAGGCCATCAACCAGGTTGGAAAAAAAGGTCATTAACATAATATTTATATATATACAGATGTGGCCCAGAGGAGGCAAATAAAGTATCACAAAAGAAAAGACCTGATTCAAATCTCAACAGTTACTTAGAACAAGTGGATTTTCCTGATCTCTTCTGCTTCCTGCTCTCAGGTCCAGCTCCCCCCCCCCCCCCCCCCCCCCCGAAAGAGCTGCTTCATAGGTTTGTTACAGGATTAGGGAGAACCTGGCATGGTGCCCCCACACACTCAGTGCTCGCTCCCTGACACAGGAAGAGACTGAGGACGTGAATGCTGGTTAGACACAGGTGGTCAGCCTTGGACCGAGACTTAGCACAGCTCACAGTTCTTCCGGGAAGTGTTCCCTGATCTCCCCGGCAGGACCAGAAGCGAATGTGGGACTCCTTTGTCCTGGGCTTGCAGAGGCTGGCCATTCTGCAGCAACAGTTCCCTGACTTGTCCCCTGCTGGGACGGGAACTTCTCAAGTGTTTCAGTCACTTGCCTGTTTCCCGCCTAGCCCAGAACCTGGTACACACGTGTCCTGTGTAAAGACGTTCCCACTGATTGAAATTTCTTCACCCTATGAATTTTCACTTTCCAAACTTCCTGCAATGAGACCTAGGGCTTCTATAATGACAAACTGTCTAGGACAAGCGCGTCTTTGATGGCAGGGGGAGGAGATGAAGTAGAGGGCTGCGGGGTGTGTGTGTGTGTGTGTGTGTGTGTGTGTGTGTGTGTGTGTGTGTGTGTGTGTGTAATGGCTCCAAGGGAAGGCAGATAAGATCAGAGTGGCAGAAAACCATGTCTAGACAGAGAGCCAGGAGGAAAGGGCTAAGGCCCCCGACAGCTCCAGGCCTGAGTCATTACGCTACAGACGGAGCCTGCACTCAGTGCAGCAGTGTGGCTGACTCAGGGCAGAGGGAGACAGAACCTGGGTCTAAAGCAGTGTCCCTCCTACAAAAAACCGCTGCCTTCTGATGTGAAGAGTCCCCCCCACCCCCCCCCCCCCAGCTTGGAGGAATGAGGCAGCGCAAAGGACAGTAACTAGGGTGGGGAGATAGTACAGCAGGTAGGGGGCTTGCCTTGCATATGGTCGACCCAGGTTCCAGCCCTGGCATCCCATACAGTTCCTGGAGCACCACCAGGAGTAATTTCTGAGGGCAGAGCCAGGAATGAGCCCTGAGCACATCTGGCCCCCAAAACAAAACAAACAAACAACAAGAGTGATGAGCAATGAGATGATTTTGAGGGGGAGCTGAGAGGAGGAGGCAGGGGTAGAACCTGGCGGGACAGTCGTGCAGGCAGGAGCAGAGCTCAGTGGCTGGCAGGACTGAAGGGATCAGCGAGGACTGAATCAGCGTCTCCCCATGAGAGGCTACAAGAGTCTGGGGTGGGGGGGCTCTAAAGGCCGCCCCTCCACTGTGAGGGAGCTCCTTCCTGTGCTGGCCTTGTCCTGCTTTGGTTCTGGATGAATCTTTGGCCCTCTCACCGAGAGTCCTTCCTGGTCCGTTTTGGTCCTGGGCTCCCCAAGCGCCCTCCTCTGAGCAATCCCTGTACAGATCTACAGAAGCCAGGTCTGGAACTGCCTGGGCTGCAGGGAATGCCCCTGTCCACTCTGTCAGGCCACTGACTGAATGCAGGTGGCCAAGGGCACCATTTGTCAGGTTTTGGTGCAGGTTCCTCACCAGCCCTGCCTGTGTCATGTGACAGACCGGCAGCCACCCTGTGCCATGCCACCTGACAAACCCTGGCTACTACAGGCAAGTGACCCCAAGCATGTCTCTCTCAGTTTTTTTCTCTCAGGATACAGCAGTTTTTTTTTCTTCTCCCTCTTTTGGGCCAGACCTGGCAATCCTCAGGGGTTATTCCTGGTGCTGCACTTAGAGATCACTCCTGGTGGTACACGGGGGATCATATGGGGTGCCAGGGATCAAAGCCGGGTCAGCCACATGCAAAGCAAGCATCCTATCTACTGTACTATTGCTCTGGCCCTATTATGGGCAGTTTCTAAGGGGCAGAGAGTGGCGGGAGGGCAGTCTCCGTGGCTCTTTGAAACCAAGCTGAGAGTTCTGTAGGGGCCACAGGGGGTGGTGGGAAACCCTAGGAAAGGAACACCAGCTCCTGGGTCCCAGCGCTCCCTCTCCACTGTTTCAGTCTTGGGGGGAATAAGGCAGTTATAAGTACCCCAGGGTGAAGAACTGGATGGGATTAGTGCTGTCCAGTGAGTGGAAGTAAGTAAGTAAGTAAGTAAGTAAAGGCCCTCCCGTTGATCATCGATTTGCTCGAGCGGGCCCAGTAACGTCTCCATTGGAGACTTTGTTGTTACTGTGTCTGGCATATCGAAGTGGAAGTAAAGGGTCTTATTTCCAGGGATCCCTTCACATCTCTCAGCTCCTGATGCCTTTATCTGCCCAGGTGATGCTCTCCAGAACATTCTCTCCCCTCTGGCCAGCAACACTCCTGAGGGCTCCAGAGTCAGCTCCCTGTGTGCAGATAATGAGCAGTGCCTCCCGGCCCCCTGCTGATCCACAGTGAACAAGTGCAGGAGGAAAACGGAATCTGTGCTGTTTTAACCCACTGACATTCTGGGTTGTTACAAGAGCTAATTGACTTTATTCTGACTGATACACGGGCGCATGCTGAGTGGAGGCCAAAACACGAGTTAGCCCACTGGTTCCACTTCAGAGGGAAGCGGAGCTCCGAGAGGAGGTGACAAGCCCAGGCCAGTGATCAGAAGCCACATCCTGCTGGGCTCAGCAGCGGCCTGTGCTCTCTGTCCTCAAGACACAGACAGTATTTGCCACTAGGTGGGAACCCGCCACACCGGGTCGGGTCAGAGCCTGTCAGCTGATTTGCCTCTCTCTGTGTGCCGGAGAGGGGGAGAATCCGGGTCCTCAAATTCCAGTCCTGTCACTGAACCTACAGCGCTGGAGGTTTCCATCTTGGTGCTAACACACTTCAGGACTGAAGGCAAGTCACGTGCGGTCCCTGCTTCCTCCGGAGCAGAGCAGGTCAGCTGGTTTAGATTTCAGAGGTTGAAGACATGTGCCCACAGCAGCGCCTCCTGGGAGCTGCTCCGGATGGAAGAGGGGCCAGAGGGCCAGAGGGGGGTGGGGCCGATGGACCTCTGCTTCAACCAGAACTGCCCTATTTCCTTCCAACAGTTCTGTGAAAGTTCGGGTAAGAGTTCCCATCACTGAGCCGGAGAGATAGTCCAGTGGGAATGCACCTGCGGTGCACATGGCTGACCTGGGTTCCATCCCTGATACCCTATATGATCCCCCAAACACTGCCAGGAGTGATCCCTGAGCACAGAGGCAGAAGCACTTATGGGTCTGGCCCCCCAAAAACCAAAAAGAGTTCCCATTGCTGACCTTAATGATTTTGAGGTTCTTGCTAGCTCTGAAATGGTGATTCAGGTTCTTGGGTTCTGTCCAGGAGCTTGTGAATTAGGGCTGGGGAAGCAGAGGGTGGCCCGTTTTTCAGAGTGTTCCAAACTCTGGCTGAGACAATCAAGCCAAGACAGTTTTGGGGCTCTCGGGGTATATGTATAAGAGGGTATACCCAGGATCTGGCCTTAGGAGTGGAGTTGGAAAGGGGTGCTTGATGATGCCATCGAGTGCACGAAGCAGAGGGTTAGAGCACGGTGGGCTAACAGTCTCGTCTTGGGCAGAAGAGATGGTTCATCGGTTAAGGCATTTGTCTGGACCAGGATTCGATCCCTGGCAACCTTTAGTCCCCTGAGCACTGCCAGGAGTGATCCCTGAGTGCAGAGCCAGGAGTAAGCCCTGAGCAATAAAGATTCAGTCCTGTTCTCTCCTCTTCTATGGCAAGGAGCTTGAGGCCATCACCTCACAGACAGAAGCCAGCAGGGCAGCTCTGGGGCCCGCTCCACTCCCTGAGACCTACCTTGACTTCTGACGACCTTAGCAGCTTCATCACCTCCCCCTCGCGGGCATAATCCAAAGGTGTGTGTCCCATTTCATTCCTCTGCACGGGGTTGGCTCCTGGAGGGAGGAGAGAGAGAAACAGAGGCTCAGTCTTCCCTTGGAGGTAAAGGGTCCTGACTTCAGGGGAAGGAAAGTCCACGAAAACAGAGGAGCAAAAAACCCTGTGAGGCAGCAACATGATGGGGAAACTTTCTGAGAATTCTTAGTTGGCTTCCGGAGGTCAGGGGACTGGGGCTCCCATGCATGGGTGCACACGTATGTAGAAATACATCACCTACCTCCCAAAGATGGGTCTGTACACGTGCCAGGCACAAACCATACGCAGCTGAGCATGACAATATCACACACACACACACACACACACACACACACACACACACCCATACTCTAACAGTGCATTATTAACATGCCACATATCAAAATCATTTGCATAAAGATGACATTTATAAAAATCATGTAAGAGTTCCTTTCGAAAGCATAAAATACAGGAAATAACCATAAAAAGGCAGGTCAGGGAGAGACCTCAAAGGGCTGGAGCACATGCTTTGTATACCGGAGGACTGTTTGATCCCTGATACTGCATGGTCCCTTGAGCACCACAGGGACCAACTTTTGAGTGCTGAGTGGGGCTAGACATACTCCCCCCCCCGCCATGCAAACGCTTTAAGGTGTGACCCCAGAGCCAAAACAAAAACAAAAACAAACCCCAAATCCCAGAACACTGAAAAGTGGCAGAGCAGAACTCCTTTCTCCTGCTCTCTGCCCTTTCTCTCCTTTAGTGCTCTCTTCCATCCGGGCACTCCCTGCCTGCAGGTCAGTGAATCCTCTGGTGCATGGGATGCCGGTGAGCTGGGTCACACCAGCCCCTGGTTCCATGCCTTTGCTAAACCAGCTATGTGACTGTGAGCAAGCATCCTCCCAGCCTTTAGTCCAAAAAGAAGGGGCTTTCTGGGGGATACACAGCTCCTTCCTCTTACTTCTGTTGACTGCATATGCAGTCCAGGCTGGGGCATCTTATGCTATGCTTCAAAAAATCCAGCATACAACATGAAATACGTGTGTTATCTGCCTGCCAGGGGCAGGCCGAGGGTAGGAGGGAAGCTCGGCCATTGGTGGAAGAAGGGCACACTGGTGGTGGGGTTGGTGCCAGAACACTGACGACTGACACACTCTCAGGAACTGCTTTGGACATCAGTGTCTCAAGGGGACATTTCTTGATCTTTCTTGCTAGGGAGAAGTTACCTAGAATAGTGGTTTTTCAACTGCCATCCATGGAGCTGATCCAGCCTACAGGAGTGAAAAGGCTGAAAACCACTGGTCTGGTCAAGAAGTGAAAAAGGGTAAAGACTTGTTCAATGCTGTGAGGATGGGGGGCGGGGGCTGGCTGTGGCGACCAGTACATACACAAGAAAGGAGAACTCAGCTTGGGGCCTGGCCCTACTGATTTACTATTCACTGCTGGACTGTTAAATCCCTGTTTATCAGTATTAGGCAGTGAAAACATTTATTTCATTTATTGATGAAGCTATTGGGCTGGAGCGATAGCACAGCGGTAGGGCGTTTGCCTTGCACGCAGCCAACATGGCCGACCCGAGTTCGATTCCTCCGCCCCTCTCGGAGAGCCCGGCAAGCTACCAAGAGTATCTCGCCCTCACGGCAGAGCCTGGCAAGCTACCCATGACGTACTCGTATATGCCAAACACAGTAACAACAAGTCTCATGATGGAGACGTTACTGGACCCGCTCCAGCAAATCGGTGAACAACGGAGGACTGTGACCGTGATGAAGCTATTACTACTGAATCTCTCATTTTAAAGGCCTATCACTTAAAAAATCATATATATATATACATACATATACATATATATGCCTTTCAGAGAGCCTGGCAAGCTACCGAGAGTATTCTGCCTGCATAGGCATAGACTAGCAAGCTCTCTGTGGTGTGTTCAATATGCCAAAACCAGTAACAATAACAGGTCTCATTCTCCTGACCCTGAAAGAGCCTCCAATCGTTGGGAAAGATGAGTAAGGAGAGGCTGCTAAAATCTCAGGGCTGAAAATTTGGAAAAAACCCGAGCGCCCGAGAACAGATGACTGGTAAAAGAAACTTTGGTACATGTACACAATGGAATACTATGCAGCTGTCAGAAAAGAAAAAAAATCATGAAATTTACATACAAATGGTTCTACGTGGAAAGTATCATGCTAAATGAAATGAGCCAGAAAGAGAGGGACAGACATAGAAAGACAGCGCTCATCTGGGGAATATAAAGTAACAGAATGGGAGTTGAACACTCAAGAATAATTGAGATAAGTACCAGGAGGCCTGCTCCAGGGCTTGGAAGCCGGCCTCACATGCTGGAGGAAAAGACAGCTCAGATAGAGAAGGGAACACTGAGTAAAGGGTGTCTGGAGGACTCGCTCGGGATGCGACATGTGTGCTGAAGACGATGGCCACTCAAAACCTCTATTGCAAACTACAACACCCTAAAGGAAAGAGTGAGCAAAAGGGAATGCCCTGCCACAGAGGCGGGGTGAGGTGGGGGGGAGGTGGGAGGGCTACTGGGATTATTGGTGGTGGAGAATGGGCACTGGTGGAGGAATGGGTACTTGATCATTGTATAAATGAAACCCAAGCATGGAAGTTTGTAAGTCTACAACTGTACCTCATGGTGTTTCACTAATAAAAAAAAGAAAAAAAGAAAAAATAAAAAGAAAATCTCAGGACTGGAATGAACAGAGACATTACTGGTGCCTGCTCAAGTAAATCGACGAACAACGGGATGACAGTGATGCAGTGATACAGTGATCACTTAACAATAATAAACATTTATGAAGTGTCTACACAGAGCTGGGTACTGGCTCCCAGAGGATGAAGGATAGGAAGGATAGACAGCATGAAGTACAACCCAGGCCAAGGACACTTATCCATAATCCTCTAATAGGAATATAGTACAAAATATTAATGTATATTATTCTATTGATCATATATGATAGAAGCTCAACCTATACTTCAGTAACTTTAGACATAGTTAAAAGATTATCCAACCATCATCACCACTAATTCCTGATCATTTTCATCACCTTTTTTTTGGGGGGGTGGCTATATCCAGCACTGCTCAGGGCTTACTACTAACTCTGCACTTGGTGGGGGTAAGGGGGATCACTCCAGGCAGTGCTCGGAGGATGACATGGGGAGCTGGGGATCGAACCTGGGTCAGCTGTATGCAAGGCAAATGCCCCACCCACTGTACTATCTCTCTGGCCCCCATTTTTATCATCTCGACAAAAATGGTCCCCTCACCATCCCCAGTCTCCCTAACCCAACCATCTGTCTTTCTGTCCCCACAGATCTGCAGGTACTTGGCCTTGTGGGTCTAAGAGGCACCTGAAGCCTGACATGGGACTGGCCTCTTCCATGAAGTGTAACATTATGTCAACAAGTGATGATCAATTTACTAAAAAGTTTCATTTAAGCATCTGTGGTGGTGGCCTCGATTCCTGGCTCAGGAATCGAGGTAACATGGAGGTAACATACTTAGCAACCTTGACTGCAAGTCAGTGGGTTGCCTGTGGACCTGGCCTTGCGGATGCCCCAAGTCTGAGATCCTTCACCACACTGGGGGGCGGCGGGGGCTCCTTGGCAGTGACACACAGGTTTTTGTTTTGGGCCACATCCTGCAGTGCTCAGGACTTATTCCTGGCTTTTGCCTGCAGGAATCACTCCTGGAACGCTTGAGGGACCATATGGGATGCTGGGGATTGAACCGGTTGCCGTGTGCAAGGCAAACACCCTACCCACTATACTGCCACACTGGTCCCCAGTGATGCAGTTTTGGTAGATGTCTGAACTGGTTCTTTCAGATCCATCCCCTCTGTGCTACTGATCCCAAGTTAGCACACGTGCACAAGTGTTCCCACTGCAGCTGGGGGGAGCCAGTTTAACTCGACCGGTCACTACCCCGGGCCACAGGGTGTCTTTCCATTCAATTTATTATTATTGTAGCTTTTGGGCTACACTCCTCGTGGCGCTCAGGGAACCGTATGTGGAGCCAGGGATTAAACCTGAGTCAGCCACATGCGTGGCCCTAAATCCTGGACTACTCTCTCTTTCCAGTATCTTCAAAAGCCGTGACTATGGTGGCTTCCTGGGAGATTTACTCCTCAGTGACAGAGAGCAGCGGTGACTCTGAAGAGGAAATGACAGCGAGGAGCTGCACAGTATTATTCCATTTTGTGCACACACCCCTTCTGCTTGTCTGTTCACCAGCTTCTGGACAAGTGGGCTGTTTCCCTTCTTTGGTTACTGTGAGTCCTGCTGCTATGAACACGTGTGTCTGGGTCATGTGGATGGATGTTTGCAAGCCCAGTGGGCAAATATCTTTGAGTCAATGATGACGATGATGTAACAGACACTGGTAGTTGAGCACTTATTAGGGGTCAGGCACGGTGTGCCACACTCTATTTACATCTCCTCCTTTCATCCCAACAACCACCCCCAGGGACAGGAATTAAAATCCTCAGGCTACAGAGAGTAATTGGACTCAACTAACCCCAGGCCTGCTAGCTTGGATTAGGAGTCAAATCACACCTAGTCCTTTTTTCTTTTAATTTCTTTTTTTATTTTGTTTTGTTTGTTTCAATTTTTGGATTACATCCAGCTATGCTCAGGGATTACTCCTCTCTCTGCACTTAGAAATTACTCCTGTCAGGGCTCAGGGAACCATACGGGATGCCAGGGTTCGAACATGGGTCAGCTGCATGCAAGGCAAACACACTCCCCTGCACTGCACGAACTCTTCGGTCCTAAATAATTTCATTTTCCGTATTTATTTATTGGGAGTGGTCATAGCCGCAGGGGTCAGGGCTACTCCCAGCTCTGTGCTTGGCTGCTCATGAAGATTTGGGGGACGGGGGGGGGGGGAGGAAACTTGGTAGCCCGCTTGCACATGTCCGCTTGCCCAGAGAGCCAGCTCTCTGCCCTCTCTCTGCCCTGCAGTCACCAATCCCTTGACCAGTCTCTCCCTGGAGTGCTGTAAAAAAATCATGTTTTCACA